TCCCTCGGGTTTTAAGGTTTAGATACGCAGGGACAAAGGAGTTGATGGCTAGGGCAGGGTGGGGATGCTAAGGGACCTGCTAAGAGGGGGACCCTGGATACTTACAGGACTTGTCATTGGATGGTAATTACGAACTTTTAGTGATCCTTAGAAAGCTTTAGAGTAACCTGTTGCTGGGAGCAAGTCACTCCCTCTCCAGAGGCTCCACAAAGCCTTGGTGGAGAAGGATTCAAGGTCCCAAACCCTCAGCTCCTGAAGCGGAACAGAACCCCTGCGCGGAGGAAGCTGCCAGGAATGGGCCCCGAGTGGTGTCCGGGGATGGGGCCCCAAGAGTTCTGAGGCATGCACTCCCCTTTGCTAAAGTCCTTGTGTTGAAACAACTTTCCCCCAGGACCTGGATTTTGGGTCTGTGAGAGACGGCTGTGACAGGCTATAAAAAGAAGCTCTAGTTTCAGAAATAGGAGCTCTCAGTGATGAATATGTCAGACTTGAAACTTCAGTGACACCATCCTGCAAAACAGATCCCTCTGCTGATGGAAGTGTGAAGGGCCAGTGCAGAACACGTACGCCCTCAGCTGAAGACAAAGCCTGTACTGACCCCCTCACCCGGGGCGTGTGGATCAACAGGACAGCGAGGGCGGTCAGGGCCAAAGGAACTGGAACTGTGGAGACCAGGTCTGTGGCTTGCATGGCATTAGCATCCCCGGGCCTAACAAGTGTAGCCCTGCTGCGCTCTAGGTCAAGGCAGGTAAGTGTACCCCAGGACGTCACACGTATCTTCACCAGGGCTTGTGTGGGATGTTCCAGAAGCCCTACAATAGCCAAGTGCTGGACTCATCACAAAGCACCCCGACAAGAGGAACGGACAGATAAGCTGTGGGACCGTCAACTGGGAAAGGAGTGAGCTGCTGGTGCCTGCCAGCGTCGGCCTGGAAAGAGCCTGAAGCCCAGGGAAGCGTCTGGATCCAAAAAACGTGCTGAGGAGCGACTGTCGGTAATTTAAGACCTTATACATATTTCTCCTTCAGCCAAACTAGGCACAACTCCTCATGGGCCCTCCAGAAGGACGCAGCGCGGAGGCCGCGGAGGGCGGGCGGCTGGGTCTCGGCCTAGTGCTGGAGCTCCGGGAGCTGGGCCTGGGTGAGCTCACGGATACTTGCCAAGGCCACTTCTGACTTGCGGGCTTTTCCGTGGGACTGGCAATGCGCTTTAAAAAAGAAAAAGCAATGAGCAGGTCCAGAGGCGGGGTCTTGACCCAATCTTAGGTGTGTTTATCCCCTCAAGGCGCAGACACATGTGCCATGACCGGCTCACGGGACAGAGCCCGCCGGGCAGTGGAGCAGGCGGACGCCGCCAGCCCTGCGCCCGCCCTGGAAGGACAAGACGGGCCTGACTGACGGGGAGTGACGGCAGCTGAGAACCAACTTACAGGCAAGGAGCCCGGAAAATTAAATTAAACAAGCAAATAAGATCTGACATAGTAGCACTGCATTTAACTCAATATTGAAGTCAATAAATAAATTTAATTTATTCAAGCCCATTTAATTCAATGTTTTCATTTAAAATGGGATTAATATATTATCTGTAATGAAGACAGAGAATGAAAAGCACACATTAATGATGCACGCGACCTATAATAAATGAATGCAATTATGTATTGATACGATAACAAGCACATGACGCAAAATATAAACTACTATGGTTTAACCTGCAGTGAGTCTGCTGTGAAGCGGGGCTGCCCTGCAGTGAGGGTTTCCCACGGTACCACGGCCCCTGGGGCAGGGTCCCTGCAAGGGCTTCGGAACTGGGCCAAGGCCAGAGCGCGGAGGCGGGCTCCACTGCCCAGCCCCTCCCGGGCTCCGC